TCCTTCTGGACGCAGCATCCGATCTATCTCCACCATTAGATCCACAAGATTACACCTGCATGAACATTAGAGTTGACAATAAAAGGTACTGGAACTCGAAAGCTGACAAAAACTCGAAGAGTAAACCAACAGAATGATCCATGCAATAACATTGTATTGTGTTAAGGAGGTGAAGCTCAAAATGGAGAACAAAATCAAAGGGGCTATTTTAAGCACATAAAAGTATTGTGATGTGCAATAACTCAAAAGACTTGTGTTTCAAGTGATTGGTGAATTTCTGGCACGACTAAATCAATAGGAAAAAGAAAACTTGTGCTGCTCACTCACACGCTAAGAGAGTTCAAGAAAAGCCAAAGATGGAATTAAAGGATGAAATTAAAGCTTATAAGTTATATCTACCTGCCCTTGCTTGAACCCATGAGTTTGATTAGTGATTCAATGCCAGCTACATGGATGAGATCATAAGTACGGGGGTATGTCGAGAAAGGCTCACACCTGCAAGCAGCAATCAAGATCAGTTAACCAGAGAGAGTTTCCATATAACACCGTTGTGCATCAAACCATAGAACCAAGAAATTTAGAAGTCAAGCAAACCATAACAAAGATTCGAGGATAAGGTTAACGAGGGATCTAGTTTGGAAGTTAAAACACTTCTGATCACTCATCTAACGACATTACCTAAATCCTATGTTAGTATAGTTTTCCAAGGTAGATTCAATCAACATAGAAAAATAAATATGAGGTTTGCTTTTAGCAGAAACAATTCCATGTTGAAGTTTATCATAGAAATTTAAAGACTAGGCACTCTATTATACTCTAGTTTATAAAAAGACAGCAAATTTTTAGAAACGATCAGCTTCCTGAGTAGGTCCGATCACCAAAACAGAGAGCGTTTCACCCTTCACATATAGTCCCTTTCAATTAGATGTCCACACGCTAAGTCACAATTGTTAACATTTTTGGTAAATTAGGCTAGAATGATATGGTGATAACTCACCAATCATGGTATACACCAATAAGGCCCCTGTCATATATAACATCGAGAGTTAATGGCTTCCTAGCAGGTACAACATTCATCACCCATACTGGATCAGATTTGAGTGCTGCTGCAAACCCTCCAAAGAAAGTATTAATGTCCATGACATTACGTATAGCAGAAGTCCCAAGCTTCACATTCAATGTATTCTTATAATAGGCAACTCTCCTTGACCACCGCCTTGCGTCCGCCTCGAACAAATCAATCCCGTTTTTCATGACGAGGGCCCTTGAAGGAGCTGTTATTAGCCTGTCAGGCCACTTGGGAATTGTCCCAAAAGCAAATTCTCCATCCACAGAAGATGTTTTTGTCACACACTTTTTTAATTTAAAGTACCTATAAACAAAAAAATATAGAAGAGAAAATTAGAAAAACACCATGTTTCTTCTCTAGAAACAGTGACTAGACTAAACTAAACAGTAAAAGTTGGAAATAGAATCCAGAAAATAGCCAACGTGCAGCTAGATTAGGTAGAAAATTCTATCAAATTATTGATGGAAATTTATGAGGATAATAGGAAAATCCTATTAGAATATAGAATTCTTTGAAACTAAGGATCTCCATGACAATTACCATGCATAACTTGGGTCATTTGATTCATCACATAGTTCAATACCAAATTCATTTTGGTTTGGTATACATGAATCAGGCTTTTTCCAAATGACTGTATTTCCATCCACAGCAATAAGCTCATAACACAATGCTCTTGCCACAGCCTGGAGGTCAGCCCACTCCTTGTCTTGCTTAGGCCACTGCACGGGAGGTCCGGAGATGACCAAATATCCACCCGGACGAAGCAACCTATCCACTTCAATGAAATACGTTGCATCTACAAAAGCCATATTCCTTCACATCAAGACCAAAGAAAAGAGGCAGAACATGAAATAAGAATATAAGAAAAGCACTCCACAGACACAAAAAAACCCTACTATAAGCTGTAAAAGGGATCAGGCACCGGGAGCAATGAATGAAGTCAAATGCAAAAGCAGGAAACGGGAGTCTGCGGGTGCCAAGCATTAGAACAAAGGCCGGTACCCCTCTTTCCAAAGCAAATTGTATTTGTGCTTTGTGCGAATCTCTTGGAGAAAAGAAGAGTGTCAAAATGCCTTCCGATAACAAAGAACCCCCAAAACTTGCAACCTGCAAAAAGAACAATGAGCATGATATTCATACAACACAAACAGTATTAACATAGTATAAACTTACCCCGCAGCCCATATCGAGAGCCGTCCTAATTGTTCCACCGGTTATAGGAATGTACTGTCCCAGTTTCTCTATATACGGTGCAGCTCCATCGGGAAACATTGTTCCGCCGCCAGGGAAAATAAAGTAAGGACCTTGCTCTTTCATCCATCCTTGGTGACCTTTCCTATCAGCAATTTTGTTGTGTGGCATATTGGAATGCCATATCTAACCATTAAACAATAGGAACAGTTTTAAGTAACACTAACAAATTACTCCCATTTCTAAAGGAATAACAAATTATATTACTTTAAATGAAACAACAAATGGTCACTTTTATAGACTTTGAGTTTAATGATCTCCAATGGAATTCCTTTAAGAATATATATAATGGTAGGCAACAAGGGAGCATGGCAATAACCAAACCACTTCATGGATTTCGTCAGAGACATTCGTAGGATTTTATGTTAGGAGACAAGTTTATAAAATTTTAAGGGTAAACATATATTAACAATAGAAAATACAAAAAAAAAACTAAATTGTATGAGAATTTGGAGTTTTCATGAGGACGACCGCCCCCTCCCTTCCTAAATTTGGTAAAAATGTTGCTTCGGCTGGCCGGCTGGCCAACTTTTTAAATTACTATTTTACCCATTATAATGTTTGATGTATTTTTAATAACTTTAACATGTATATAAAATCATAAACATATTAATATATTGTAAGATTTATATTACACATATACTAAAATATCATGTACATATATTTACAATATTGTAAATATATATAATTATGTTTATGAATATATTTATAAACACATATTTTTACAATATTGATCATAAAAATGTGATGGAGAGTTAGCTGATCCATCGAAATGATGTTTCCAACATTCATACAAGAGTTCATCCCTAAGTAAATTATCAATAATCTCACATGAAACCCAACAAAACCCACAATTTCTTGGGGGGGAAAATACCTTGTGCAAGCTTTCAGGCCACTGAACAGGAATCTTATACCCAAGCGGAGGAGGGATCAAGCAAAGAGGCATTTCATCAGGCAAAGGGCAATGCCTTTCTCTATAAGAATTCATCTCCCTGCTCAGCTGACTGTTCCGCCTGGGATCCTCACACGGCATATGATCGACGGAATCAGCAGGACAAGCTTCGATGGGCTGCTGGTGGTGGCCCTGCTCCAACAGCGCCACCAAACGGTGTCGTTGCTTCGGATCCGAGGTGGAAACCAGCAGAGCTTGTCTTCCGGAGGCAGCCATGGAATCGCCGAGAGGCGTGAAGACTAACACGAAGAACAAGAGTACCAAGGCGAAGAACAGGGCGGAAATGAAGTCCAGAAGGTTCCATTGGCGTGGGTTCCGTTTGGACGGTGGTAGATTTAAGTGACCCATGATTTGCTGGATCTTTGATGAGATTGAGTTTCAATGGTTCATTGAGTGGAAGTGAGCTCGAGAATTAGAGGAAGATGTGGGATTTTCAGAGTTCGCACCTAAGAATCCGTTTATTTGTGTTCCAGTCCTTTGTTGGATATTGATTGGCTAAATTATACATTTTGGTATCTCAACTTTATTTGAAAGTACAATTTAATATTTAGAATTGACTCTAAGGTGCAATTTAATATCTGAACGGTCTTCTCTCCAAATAAGTAATTAAATTTGACTTTTTAATTTAATTAATATTCAAATCCTAATTAATCTTTTATTATATATATATATATATATATCATATGATGATAATAGTTCATATGATTTCTTAATTATAAAATTCATGTCTGATTTCTACTCATTAGTACGAAATATATTTTGTGGTCAATATTTGTTTTTTTAAAAGTCTTTCATAACGAAGAGATTAATTATTATTGTTGATACAATTATTCTTTTTCTCGAACAAAAGAAAAGATATAAATCACATGTAAAATATGTGATTTTAATCTTAGAAACTTAATTTATTCACATAAATTTATTTAGATGATGATACGTGTTACGTACTTACAATAATTTATTATTAAAATGTTAAATAGTTTTAAAATTATTTTATATTATTTATACTTTATTTAAATAATTGGAAAATGTAATTTTTTATTAAATAATTATTGTAAATAATTATAATTAATTTGAAAGTTAAAAAGATTAAGAGTCAATTTAACTAAAATTATAAAGTTAAGGGGTTTAATGTGTGTTTTAAACCTTTAAATTAAAGTCGACGGATCTAAACTAAGATCACTTGGGGTGAAATATAGGGAAGGAGTGATGGGGAGCATGTGGAAGGTGGTGTATGCGGTCGAAAATGTCGCTGTCGTTCAACTTTTATAGACATTAGAAAACCATTTTTAAAGTTTAACTTTGAGCAAATTACCCCGTAGATTATTTAATCATGAATTTAATAATAAATAGGGTAAACTACATATTTAGTATTTAAACTATTACTTTTATTCTATTTTAGTATCTAAATTTTTTTTTTGATAAGTAACTTATATTCATCCAAAGAAAGCAGCAAAAGCTGCAACAAAACAACGGTAAACACTATATCAGTCCCCAACACATATACAAGTGCCTATATACATCATCTCTTCTATGTGTAGAGTGTCTATACAATTTGTATTGGACAGTTTCTTTAATCTTTATAACAACCACATCAACTGAACGCGAAACCCTCCTAAAAACTCTATGGTTACGCTCCTCCCAAATGTGATACAAATAAACAGTCCAGGCGAGCTTTAAAAACCTCACTCGAGGGGACTTACCCCTCAAGTTCTCAACCAGCCAATCCATTCATTCATCCCAACTGTACAGACCAGAACGAATCCCACACACGACAAGAACAGCATCCCAAACCTCCTTAGCAAAGGAACAATTAGCAAATAGATGGTCACGTGTTTCCAGCCCATTGCCACACATAATACAACCATTGTCCATTTCCAGACCAAAACGAATCAACCTGTCCTTAGTGGGCAGTCTATTAAGGATGACCATCCATGAAATGAGAGAGCATTTCGGAATATGAGCAGGGAACCAAATGACTTTGTGCCAGTTAACCTTCTCTCTGCTAGTTCTAATATTTTCCCATATCCATTTGCTGCTAATTAAATGCCAATCAGTACTAGGAAGAAACAAAGTTCTAGCCACCTCGCGGAGCTTCAGCAGCTTTTTGATAATCCAACTGAAATGGCCTTTACAGATCACTTCCCAAAAACTCACAGCTTTAAAACAATACTCTTTAATCCAAGCTATCCAAATAGAGCCTTCATTAGCCAGAATGTTTTTGATCAACAGCAAGCAACACGCTTTACTCCACAGAGATAGGTCTCTAAGACCCAGACCACCCTCAGACTTCAATGAACAAATTTGGTTCCATCCAACACGAGCTCCTCTGGCAGGAGAGTCACTGCCCTTCCAGAAAAAACGCATGCATAGCCTCTCAATGTCCCTGACAATCCCCTTGGGGAGGATGAGCTGTCTGCTCCAATAATTGAAAATACTGTGTAGCACAGTCTTGATCAGCTGAAGCCTACCCCCAAAGCTAAGCTTCTTGCTAGACCATTGGGAAAGCTTGTCCCTAATTCTCACCAAAAGAGCAACACAATCCTTGATGGAGAGTTTCCGAGTGACCAGAGGCACTCCAAGATATCTAACAGGTAACTGAGCCACTCTAAATCCAGTAACAGAATGTATCTGAGCAAGTGAACTCCCACTTAAACCACAAGCGAATAGTTCCGTCTTCAGAGCATTGAGCTTAAGTCCTGACAGAGAATAAAAACCCTCAAGGGTGCATTGGACCCCAAGAACAGATTCAAGGGAACCATGACAGAACACAAGGAGATCATCAGCAAAGCTAAGGTGAGTTAGGGAGATTCTTCTACATTTCGGATGGAATCTAAAAATTCCAAGCTTAACAGCTTTGTTTAGCATAGCAGAAAGAACATTCATCACCATGACAAAAATATAAGGAGACAAGGGATCACCTTGTCTAATCCCCCTTGCCCCCTTGAAATACCCCACCAAGCTACCATTCAAGCAAACAGAATACATAGGGGTAGTAATACACTCCCTAATCCAGTAACAGAAAACTTCAGGAAAGCCCATAGCCTTAAAGACAGTCAGCAGAAAGTCCCAGTTAATGGAGTCAAAAGCCTTCTGCAAATCAATTTTAATAGCACATCTAGGAGATAGTCCATTCCTATAGTATCCTTTCACAATTTCCTGGGCTAAAAGGGTGTTATCAACAATGCTCCTACCCTTTACAAAGGCTGACTGGTTATAGGAAATCATGCTAGGGAAATAAGGAGTAAGCCTATTAACCAGGATTCTAGTGATGGTTTTGTAAACTACTGAACAACAAGAAATAGGCCTAAACTCCTTTTCCATACATGCATTCAAAGACTTTGGGACCAGGACTAATATTGTAGCATTAAAAGCAGGCAATAAACATGAAGATTGGAAAAAAATACTGTACGGCAGCAATAAAATCACTGCCTACAATGCTCCAGGCAGATTTGAAGAAACCAAAAGTATAACCATCAGGGCCAGGGCTTTTGTCCTTACCTTGCTTAAAGAGAGCATCTTTAATCTCCAAATCACTGACCTCCTTTGTAAGGAAGGTATCTGCACCATCAGGCAAAGGGTAGTTCAGAAGGTCCTTCAAAGATTCAGCTGAACACCCTTTTACAAGAGAATCAGGGGAGCCAATGAGGTTGGTGAAATAACCCACTAGCTCAGTAGACATTCCTTCAAAAGAATCATAGCACTGCCCATCCTCACTCTTAATAACCCTAATAGTGTCCCTCTTCTTGTTGGAGAGGACCCTTTGATGAAAAAACTTTGTATTCAAGTCACCCTCCCTTATCCAATGGACCTTGGCTTTCTGTCTATAGAAAACAGCTTCAGCAACTTCTAAATCAACTAAATCAGCATGAATCTTCCTTTATTCATCAATCTTCCTCTGGTTAATGTGAGCTAGATTGAAAATCTGAATCTGTTCCAATTCTGCCCTCTTATTCTTGACTCTACCGGAGATATCAGCAAAATAATCCAAATTAAACTGCTTAAGAACATGCTTAAGTCTTTTCAACTTGTTGAATAAGTATCACATAGCATCACCAACACATTGGCCCTGCCAAGAATCCCTAACAACATCTAGGAATTTCTCATGATCAGACCAAATGTTAAAGAACTTGAATGGATGAGGGTTCTTTGCCATAATTCCCTTATGAGTCCACAGCATACCCAGGCAATGGTCAGATACCCCCTGGGCCTTGAATTCAACAAATGAATCAGGGAAATCCACCAGCCAACGGTCATTAACAAGGATTCTGTCCAACTTACGAGCCAAGAAAGAGCCTTCTTGCTTATTGGACCAAGTAAATAATGGTCCAAGGAAAGGGTGGTCCATGAGCTCGAGATCTTCCATGCAGTCTTGAAAGTCCTTCATATCAGGAGTACAGTGAATCCCCATGATATCAAAATCTGAACTCTCCTCAGCCTTTGCAATGATGTTAAAATCCCCCCCCAATTAGCCAAGAGGAGGGGCCAATCATCTTCTCAACTAAGCCCAAGTGTTCCCAAAGGCTCCTCCTAGCAACACCACTATTACTACCATAAACAGCAGTAATAGTAGTCACATGCCCATCAACAGACCCAGTTACAGATATGGCCTGGTCACAGCAACTCAAAACTGAGAAAGAGAGGTGTTTCCTCCAAAAGACCCACAATCTACCTCCTTCAGCGCATTCGTAATTATCAGCAAAATACCAATCTTCAGACAGAACAGAAGTAAGACTAGCAGAGTTCACACTACGAATGCGAGTCTCCATCAAACAGAAAATATCAACCTCACAAGCAAATAACCTCTTTAACACCTTCAGCTGCTTGAGGGGGTTATTAATCCCCCTAACGTTCCAGAAGCTGACAATCATCAAAAGGAAGCAAGCTGAGCACTAGCCCTTGTGCTCGGATTCACCACAGAACTTCTGACTTTCTCAAGTTGATCTTTCTTTTTAGTCTTTATTTCATTAAGCAGCATGGCTACCCCCAAAGAAGCCACTCGGGCTTTCCTGATGCCCTCAACTACAGCTTCTACTTTAGTTGAAGAGCTAGTGACCTCTTTTTTCCTTCCCTTTTGCCTTTTCTTCAAGGAGTCCTGTAGGGTTGGGAAGTCACTAGATTGGGTAGTGCCCTGTGTATCAACACCATCAGTAGGTGCCTTCTCAAGTAAAATAGGCTCAGAAACTGACAGCTTCTGTGACCCAGTAGCATCTGATAACTTCCGTGCCTCAATAGCAGTTAGTGAAATACTAACAATATCCTTACTTACACCCATCAAATTAGGCTCACTGCTCTCTTGTAGGGCATGCACTGTAGTCTCTACAGCATTACCCACAAGTAAAACTTTAGAATTGCAGACTAGAACAGGAGGCAAAACTGAACTTTGCAGAATCTCAATAGGAGCATTAACAGATCCAGTTGTCCCTGTGTCAGAAATAACAGTAACAGGTAAATTACCCTTACTTTCAGAATCTATAACCTTACTATCCTTCTTCCTCCAAACTTGCACCTCTTTAGATTTCAGATGGGGCTGCCTTCCATCAGTACACGAATTGATATGGTGCCCAAATGTATTACACTTAGCATAGAATTTGGGCAACCAAGGAACATGAACACTAACATCAACAGAGGAACCATCCTTTAAGACAACCTGAATGGATTCAGGGATGGTGACACCAGCTTCAATTTCCACGCACACCTTAGCATATTCGAGTCTCTCTCTTGAAGCTGTAATAGTGTCCATGTACAACGGATTTCCTAAGGCACTAGCGAGATAACTAAGTCCCTTCTGGGAATAGAGTTCTAATGGAACATTATAAAGTTGCACCCAGATCGGGACAAAGGAGAAGTCAAAGCTGAGTTTCTGCATACCAGGTGACCAGCTCCTCAAGAACAATGGCTTATTCTGAACATGCCAAGGTCCATTATCCAGAACCCAATCCCTCAAACCAACATCAAAGAACGAAAAAACAAAGAGATTAGGGCCAGCGATACAAACCTTAACCTGAGAAGAGTTCCCCCAAATCGATTCAATTATACGCTGCAAAGATCCAAAACTGGGAGCCAATTCAAAAAATTGACCTACCAGGGCATGATTCCAGTCCGCAATACCCTCATCAATCACCTCAGGCGGAGGTTTAACGATAGCCACACCATCCTTTAACTCAAGAGAAAAGAACTCAAGAGTTTGATCTTTTGAACCCACGAACAAATCCTTCCAATCCAGACTCACAAAACCCGACTCCATGACCACAACAGATCCAGAAAATCCACAGAGAATGAGAAACGAACAAAGATTAGAAGAAAAGAAGAAAATCTGAGTGAGCATTAGTCCTGCTAACATACGCCCAGAGAGCCTCCATTTCCTCAGTATCTAAATTTTATCAAAGTTATATCTAACATTAAATTTATGTTTTATTTTTGGTACAATTGTATAACTTTTAATAGTCAATGGACTCAACAAAGCATCGTCCTGTAGTCGGGAGATTATTTTGTAACTTTCAATAGTCAATGTACTCAACAAATCGGAAGATCATTTTGTAACTTTCAATTGTCAGGAAACTTAATAAAGTAACATCCAATAATCGAGGTACCATTTGCATACTTTAACCATATATTTAATCTTTCTCATATATTTTTGAAGAATTATATTTTGTATTTACACTCAAAAGTGGACTTAAATATTAATATTGGAAAAAAACGAGTAAATTGGATGTCACGTGTCTGATTGTGCGGTGTTGAATTCTGGAGGATCGTGCAACGGTAATCGGCATATGGGGCAAGAAGACTGTTTTTTTAGCCATACGTCGATGCAAGTAAGGTGAAAATCATGGCCGCACTTGGGCAGCATTCTTAGTACTTCTTTCTCCTCGTACTCGCCTAGGCATATACAGCATCTGCGCATAACAATAAGTCACAATCGTGAACCCGAGTCTTACTTTGTTAAAGAAACATATAAATTATTATCATTAAAATTATATCCGAATTCCATTTTTTTTAAATTTTGAATAAAATAAAATATATATTTGTAAATAAGACATGAATTTAAAATCAACTTATTAAAGAATTTTAATGATAAAAATAAATATTATTTATCCTAAAAATTTAATTTTAAATTATATATATGTGTCCGAAATTAATTGGTTTAGATATGTATTTGAAACAAATGGTAAAACATAAAAAGCGTTCATTTCAATTTTATTATATCTCAATTAATAGTTTAACGTTTATCTCATATGACTGTCAATTTTTTTAACGAAAATGACGAGTTTGAAACATATGAATAGCCATGTAACTTTTATAAATTTTAATAATAGAATGACTCAACATAATAATATCCTATTGTTAAAAGACAATTTTGTAACTTTTGATAGTTAAGAATTCAATAAAATATGTTCATATAATTGGGATACCATTTATTTATTTTACCCTATGGTTAATTTGGACCTACAAATAATATTAAAAATAGTAGTTTTATAGTTAGAGAATTTAACAAAGTAATATCTTATAGTCGGGAGTGTACTTTATCAAAAAAAAAAAAAACGGGTGAGCTTCAACTTACTGTGCATCTTCCATGGAACTGAAAGCCTCGCGAGTGAACTTAACGGTGGGCATTGCAGCAATCACAACTGGTTCAAGTCCTCTCATTTGTGGCTCCGGCTATTACCATAACAACAAATAGTAAAAAAAAGACGTAAAATTTTATGGTACGAATGTATAAACTTTTAAAATTTCATATCAAAGTTGTAATATTTGAGGTTTAGAATTATAAATTCAGAGATTTGATCGTTTTCAACGTTCGTTCGATCCATCCCTGTATGCAACGAGTATATAGATAAGAATTTGCAGATAATTTAGATAATATTATGAAACCTGTTCAATATCAACACTGGACTGAGCCTGGAACATGAGATGTCTGGTTCGAGATGCTCTAATCCTCCGACAAATCATCCTCGTACAAACAAACACGATGAAAGTGGCACTCATTCCAAAACCAATCACGGTTGTGATCAAGTCCGTGCCCGGACCACTTAACATCTTCTTTAATTCCCTGTTTCTGGAATCGATGCTTCTTGTCTGTCTGTCAACAAAGAGAAAAAGTAAGAAATACCCAGATCAGGATTTTCCGAGAAAAAAACTTGTTTGGATGGAAAAACAAGTGGGAAAAAAAGGGGTCAGTTTTGGATGGTGAAGACGGGGTTCAACACAAATAGACAAATCGGTTTCGTTCTTGTCGTTTAATCGTTGGATTCACACTCAAAAGACCCACTTTCGAAATAATTGTTTTTTTTTAATTTCGATGTTCGATAATAATAAGAATTTTAATTTAAGTATGAAATAGTTTTGAATCGGATTTCGATTTTAAAAACAAGTGCTATTAATGTCGTTTTTCCTGTTTATAAGATTAAAATTTGATAATTTATTTAAAAAATATCGAATTTCTTATTACGATTCAGATTGATTCGAATAGATATCGGGTTTTCTTTTTGCAGCTGTGGTAAAATCTTCTGTCGATTTCATAGGTAGAGAATCTCATGATATGTGGCATTTAGTGTTTGCTGCTTTTGGATAAGGCCTACTCTATGGTTCAATTAACGGTTTTTCTTGCTTCAGGACTTAACCAGTTATATATTTAGGATAATTATGAATTTTACCCCTTGGGTTTACAAATATTAAAAGTAAATCTCTTTAATTTGCAAGAATGGACTCTTCAACTTGTCAGAAAATTTTAGAATTTTAACTAATTAGGTAACACCGTTAAATTTCTCTGTTAAATATCTTATTTGAAAAATATAAAAAGAGATATTCTAATTATTATTATTAAATTCAAATATATTTTTTTCAATATTATGTCCTATCAAGTTAAAGATTTTTCATCTTAAATCTGACCCGATCTCACCCTTTAAATAATCAAACTCATCCCAACCCGAATCTAATTTTTGAAAAAGATAAATCAAGTCAAAATCTATCAAATTCGAATTAAATGGTTAATAAGGATAAGATAATAACCCTAAAATAAGTTAGGAATCAATATGCAAGGAGCTTAATATTATTACACATTGAAGATAAAAACACAATTTTTGATACATAATAAAACAACACATTATATATGAAAAATTAAACTACCTATGTCGGACAAATGCCCATATTCAACATGATGAAACGATGATTGTCACAACAAACTCCATTCTACCAGAACAGAAACAGATAATAAAAAAACAAGCAGAACTTGTGTTTAATTACTATATTGCTACAAACTGTTGAAACCGGACCTAAAGGAACAACATCGAATAAAGAGGCTCGAACGGTGCGATCCCTCCATCAGCCTGGAAAGAAAGGGCCGATCTCATAGTTATGGCTTAGCATCATCTTTTTCTTCAATGCTATCGACCGGAGTGGTGGTTTCATTTGTTTTGCTGGAACCCCCTGTTATGGTTTTCCCCATGAATTTTCCTGCTTTGCTCAGTCCACTGCCAACAGCTCCAAGGCCACTCCCGAAAATCCCAACTCCAGCACCAACACCACTTCCCACAAGACCAACTCCAGTGCCAACACCGGATCCAACCAGCGAAACCGCTCCGTCAAGTGCATCCATTGTGCTGCCGATAACTCCGGCTTCTTTTAACCTCTTTCTTTCTTCTAGGATCCTTTTCTCTTCTTCCAAAACAGCCGATTGTTCTTCCTTGTTGAATAAATGGTATAAAAGCTGAAAGTATAATAAAGTCGAGACTATATTAATCCGGAAAACACACCCACATATCAGTTAGAACTTAGAAATATGTTTCAGGTCCGTATATGCGTCCGACGAGGATATTTCAAAAGGGAAAAAAAAAACAAAGCAAGAAGGGAAACAAAATGTCTACCTTAATGCTACAACTTCCCCTGTCCTTATTATCTTTTACTTTAAGTGTATCAAGTGAGGACAGAAGGCTCAGATTAATCTCCTTAGGTGTCTCTGGTTCCAGTTCGATCAAACGGAACTTCGCAATTCCCAATCTCTTGTCTTGCCCGATGTCCTGGTCGAAAACCTGTTTGAAGCCATAGCGAATATCGCATAAACCAACTGTAACGGGTATGTACATCTATGTTACTTAGACTTGAGTATGAGTTTCAAAAACAGGTATACATCCAACACGATATTGCTCAACTTTTTCTAAGTTATTCCAAATACGGGTAGGACACAAGGATTTTAGAAGGAAAATATGATAGCTTAAACCAAAAAGAATAAAAGAGAAACAGGTTCCGAACCTCCACAGTGAGTGCCTGTGTCTCTCTATCTTCCACAATCAACTCAAATGTTTCATTCCAAACAGGATGCAGGTTGTTCTCGATGACTTTCGTTTTAACCTTGAAGAGAGGTCGAATGTGCACAACAACATAAGGATCAGATTTTCCGATCATTTCCATGTTCTTTAAATCATTAGCTTTGGCTACTGTAACCGTCAGCTTTCCTTCCGGTTTAAGCTCCAGTTCACTGCATAACAAAAAGGAGAAGCGATTCATGCAACATTCCGAGAAATTTCGAAAAGTCAAACCAAATCATTTTTTCTTTTTGCAGTTTACCATTCCAAATGGAGAACCGAAGTTTCGGATTTACCTTGTATCAACTGGTATACCACCAATCGGAACAACAATTCTATGTGGCCACTGAAGCATGTCTGTGACAATTGAATTCACGGTATCCTACAGAATACGATAAAATTGGAAGATCTACCATATTAATTAGGTGTATCTATATGCGAACATAAACCAATAAAACTTACATCAATCATATCTGAAAGTCCGGGAACCGCTGTTAAGCTTCCACCAACAGCCTTCAGAGTGTAATCAATTCTAGGCTCTGGCTGATTGAATTTAGAGAAGAATCAATGATTTCAAAACAACTAGAAAAGGGTAGATTCATTCATGACTATAAAGAGCTTACTACTTCAGGTTCTTCAAATTTAGACTAAAGCCACTTATAAATAGCACGCCATAGCAAAAGTTGAAAGAACATATATATATATATATATGATTTTTGAATGTGAGAATGCAGAACGGACATTAAACAATCTATATAAAACCCACTGCATTTACAGCAATTTCTAAATTACTCTAACAGATACCTCAGCAAGGAGAGCAACAACTACGGCAGAAATACAAGGTATCTCTTCAGCAAGTTGGAAGATGACACGAACGATGGTGAAAACTTGAAGATTTTTCAACTGCATCATGAAGCAACACACTGATAGTAAACCTAAAATCTCATCCCGTAAGAATCGAATCTCACGATGGGAAAAGTAATATGGTATTGTACAATGTTGAAACATGATTACAGTTACATTTAATATAGATGATTGAAAGGTTGCTGATGCACCGACCTGGATTGGTATTGAAGCAACAAGTGCAGCTTCAACAGCTAAAATTATACTTGGATCACCACCCCACCGAAGATCAATATCCATCGTGATTTGGCCTTTCTTAAGGCTCTGAACACGAATACCTGCATTGCACAAGTGAACGTGCTGGTAATGCTTAAAAAGAGAACCTTTAGAGGATATTTTTAGGACTATTTAAGCCTGAGAAAACTGCTAGCGAAAAGAAGCCCACAACAATTGTAATGAGATCTCCTTGCTAAAAGATACAATTGTATACCAAGAAACAAGAAGTAAAAGAGGTAACAATCCCCATCAAGTCATACCTTCGATCTTGGGAGCCACAGTACCGAGAGACAATTTACCGAACTTCAGTGAAGTAATACCAGGAGGCCGGTATTCTTCCAAGAGTGGTTCAACGGACTCTTTGATCACCGCTGATGCTGCCTGAAAGTATCACATTAAACAAACTTTGGCTCAAACTTGCATATAAAAGAGCTGCAATTATTTTCACTTCACAGAAGCATCAACACAGCGGAACAAGCTGCCTAAAAAGAATCTATATTAGTGGAAAACCTCAGTTACACGAAAGCCTCACTGCTAAGTTTCGTTAGCTCTTACTAGCATAATCTATCTCGGCCACAAAATATAAGTATAAAAAGAATAAGTAGCTTACCTCCGCAACAAAAGGCCATAATTTGCTCAATTGCTTGTTCAACCATTTCACCTAAAAATGCCAACCATAGTATAACTGTAAGCAACTATACTGCATAAAGTCTTAATTGCAACATGAAAGTACATGTATTCTACACCTAACGCAAGTAGAAGATGCATATTTTTAGGTAATAAATGTTATTGTTAAAAAGAGAAAATATACCCAACTCTCTCAAACAAATTGGTAGAGGGTATTTCTCTTCAAGGAAAATGAAATTATTAGCTAATTGTAGATACCGAATCGAAATTGGAATGGATTCCTTTTTTTCTTTTCTTTTTTCAGGTATAAGGTATACAATAGAAAGACATCCTTAAACTTGGCAATATCAGACAAGACATGAAAAAAGAACATGACATGAAATATGACACTACATGAAAAACAAACATGAATACAACACAGATACACTTAATATACTCTTACTCTTTATTATTCTTGAAATACTCGTTCCAAAACCCATTTCCAGTGCATATCTTAACGTGGGTATAGGGATATGATCCTACAAGGACTCTAAATATGTAAACTTGAAAAAATTGAATATGCTCATTCTTGACACTCATATTCTAATCCAAGTAACATGGGAATACATGACAAAAATACATGAAAATCCCAATAAGAATTGTTAACTTATTAAAATTTATATGAATATAAAATACATTAAACATTAGTACAACACGGCAAAAATTCATATCAACAACATGTATACACAAATTGTGAAGCCATATTTTTCACTTTTACAAGTGAATCAAGAGAAATTTGGTTTTCTTCACGTAGAATCACAGTAGCCTAAAAGAATATTTCCAAGAATCATAATTAATTTGACACCATTAAACCAACCTGTTCATAAACAGGAAAAGATATCCACTCAGGATAGTTATCACCACAAATTTTCTTCACGTCATCTCTTGTGAGAGCCCCAAGAACTTTTATATCGGCTGCCTGTCGAAGCAGACAAATATTACAATTAATAAGCACACAAAAAGATTCATTTATCTAAAATTTAGAAGATGACAAA